ACTATTCAAAGTAAGCTATAATATGGAAAATTATTTGCAAAACATTTCAAATTTCAGCCTCAGGAAAATGCTTTTAAAATTCCGTCTGAGTGACCACAACTTAGAAATAGAATTAGGTAGAAGAACAAAGCCCAAAATAGAATTAGAAAATAGACACTGTAATAAATGTAACACTAAAGCATTAGGAGATGAAAAACATTTCCTGCTATTTTGTACTGGCTATATAGAACAAAGAAAAAAACTGTTTGATGAGTGTGCAATAAATATTTACACAATGGATGTGAATTCCATATTTAAAAAGATTATGGAGAATAATATAGCTTTAGCAAAATACTTAAAGAGCACAATTTTTAAAACCACAGAAAGTAATTAATTTATATTTTTCTTTTATTTTACTAACATTTTATTTTTATCTCTTATGTATTGTATGTATTTATGTTCCTTACCATACAAAAACCCTCTGAAGGTTTTTAGTAGTGTAATAAAGTTATTATTATTAGTTATTATTATTATTGATCTCTACAACTCATTCAAATCAAATTGGACTCAAAAATGGGCAAAGAATATTAGATTTAATTGAAATTTAGTTTAAATCCATGCTAAATTAAAAGTTATTTTGAGTATGGGAGTTTTTTTTTTGCGCAAAGAAAATGAACTGTTGCACACTGTGGGCATATATCATCTTATACTAGTTTACAGGAAAAAAGGATTTTGTATGGTATTTGATGTTATGGGCATAATATATATAGTTCATAGATGGTTACTAAATTAGATTTCTCAATGTACAGTACACTATTGTTGGTATTGTCTGAAGAAAAAAAACAAACAATATGCATAATCTTTGAAAATTTAAAAAAAACAAAACATTTTGCAGTCAGTTAAATTATATTAATAATTTGATAACATTGCCATGAATGGAAACAAATTTACGTTGATGTTTTTTGCAGATTTCAGGAGTTGGAAATAACCTTTGTTTATACTTTTCTTGTATTAACAAACATAGGAGCTAATCCTCATTAACACCTACTTGAGCTTGTTGTTTGACAATTATGAATAATAATGAAACAGTACTTTACACAGTGAGCCATGACTGAACAAAAAATTGCGCATTTATTTTTTTCCAAAAAATAGGTATGATAGCAAATGCCACAGTGTTTTTTAATTTAT